CCTAGGTCTACTCCACTATGCAGCCATCACTCTGGACTCCTGTCATGACAATAATACCTAATCATATATCCCTTTTAAACAGTTTTCTCCCTCATCTGTTTTAATGCAGTAGACATTATTTATCCCATCTTTCTCAGTCTCCCACCAACCCCGATGTCAGTCCTGTTTTATAACAGTGGCACCATGCAGTATTTGTCCCTTTGTGACTGAGATATTTCATTCAACAGAAGGCATATCCCCCTCCCCTTCCACCTCTGCACCCCCCTGAGGGTGACAGCCTCAGAGAGGAAGGCTGACTGTGCACGGAGACACTCCTCATGGAGGGCACAGCAACCACATCTGCAGTGGTGACCAAAGGCCAGACTGGATGCCATCGGTTAATCGGCCTAGAACTATGAGACCCTGAGTCTCAGCCCTTGTTGATGAGGCTGTTCCTTTGGGAGATTCGAACAACTGTTTCCTGGGACAGAATGTCACACTGTCAGAGAGGCCTCAGGATCCAGGCAGGTTCACGTTTTGTGGGCACCTGCTCCAATTCGCATCTGGCTTCCTAAGGGTGGTCCTCATACCCAGACCCCTCCAAAGCCCTCAGATGGAATACGGTGGCTCCCGAGCAGACTTGTTCATTCCTGATTCCCTCCAGCAACACTCAGTTCCAGCCCCACCACATTCCCCTCCTCCTCCAACCTCAGCTGAGGTGGAATTTTAGGCTCCACGGCACGAGCAAGGAGCCTACCAAGGGCCAACTCTTGGCCTCCCCGTCACATGAGGGTTAGCCCACGCAGAGCCCACACAAAGAATCAACCCAGTCATTAACCTTAGCGAGGGACACTGTAGGGAGTGGACAAAAACAAAGCTGTGACTTCTCATTAACACACTCCATCATCCTGAACATAAAACCTGAAGCCGGGGCAGAGGGGACATTGTGCTGGGAATTAACAATTTCACAGAGACAAAAGCATGATGGGGTCAGAGTGGGTATAGGGTAAGGGGGCTGCATGGACTGTGAGGAGAACAAGCAGGTTCATCCTGCAGAGGGTGAAACCAGGCTGCTCCTTGGAGGCAAGGATTCTGAAGCTCCGTTTGGCATACTTTAGACATGTTACAAGGAGGGACCAGTCCAGGGTGGAGGGACAGCTCAGGAGAGGAAGACCCTGGACGAGACAAATTGACTCAGTGACTAGGACAATGGCATAGGTGTGTCAGAGACAATAGGTTGGCTCAGGATAGAGCAGGGTTTAGAGCTGTTAGAAATAGGATCACTATGAGTGGCAAAAACAACAATGATTCTGCCTGATGCATCCAACCTGTACCAGTAGAAAGGAACAGGCCTTAGGCCATGGAGTCCCCTAGAAAGCTACGGTGAGCCTCTGTGTGTCCCAATTTTCAAGCTTTGCCCACAGTTTCCCCTTTCTCTCCTCCCACAGCCTCTCCTTTCACCACTCACTCTCCTAACAGCAGAGAATCTCTTGGCCAAAGCCACTCCTAATTGGCCTCCAGGTACCTCAGCTCAACCCAGCCACTGGTCGCCAAGACTTTGACAGGAAGGGGATTTTGGAAGTTTTAATGGCACAGGAGGAGGCTGCCCATCTTTAGGCGCAAACTGAATGTCAAGCTCGACAGTCCTCTGCCTTCAGGAATGTCTCACCTTCCAGAAATACAGCACACACCTGGCACAGAAAGGGTATTCTTCCCAAGACACCACAGAAACAACAAATGCCCAAATGCGGGAATCCCTAAAATGAAGTGTATCCAAGGAGCACAGCTGTGAGAATCACAGAACTCTGCAGACATGCTGAAGCTGGTCTGGGGTGTCCATTCTCAGCTCTGGGGTTCACTTCTTTAGTCCCATCGGGAAATCTTGCTACTTCACACTCAGAGTTCCCTAGCAAGTGTTCTTGGCCTCACAAGGATTAGCTGGACAGGAAGGGCCACCCCAGAACTGCTGAGAGGGGTATGTCACCTGACAGCCTACAACGGGTGGGGTGCCGTCCCATGAAGACACATCACCAGGGCCAGCGTGCAGGCCTTGCGTGTGTACTTTCCACCTGTCCACAGAGAGATGTGGGTCCTCCCATAGTCTCTCCTTCAATGCCTCAAGGTCCTCTCACCTCCCGGGAATCTGGTTAGCAACGGAACCATGTGCAAAGGACTTGGGATACTAATGTGTATGTGATGTCCCTCTGGTAGTTAAAATCCAGCAGAAAGATGAGCAATTCCATCCAATGCCATTAAAACTTCCAAAAACCTGCTGGACGGCCAGCTCTGGGTTGGTTCCGACTCGAAAGCAATGAGGTTAGAGTTTGAGCATTTTGAGCTTACAGTTCTTGGATTAGAATAAAGGAGGATCTTGGACCTTATAGTGCAACTGAGCAGAGCCAGACAGCTAAGACACAGGAACTATGATGTCACCCAACTCGCCACCTCTGGCTCTGAGAAATAGCACCAAAATGTGGCAGATGAGACCTCTGAAATGTCCACAGGCTGGGGCCCTGGGCCCCCCACATCTCTCCCCCTTCAGTAAGTTTGCAATACTCACGTTGCAAAATCAAGCTATGTTCACAATACCCGCAGATAGGAAATGTCCACCCAGACTCAGGGCGGTTAGGGTTGTATAAGGGGAATGGAAAGAAACAATTTGGATTTACATATTTGTCCCCACAGGCCCTCCAAGGACAGCCAGGAGAGGTGATTGACACGTGGTACAAACAACAGACCCTCCCACCCCACCAAAATAGAAAATTTCCAATTAGTCCAAAGAAATGAGGGCTTGTTCCCAGAGTCCCAATTAAATCAGAACCAATCAATGCTTGTTCCAGTTCCTGCCATTCTGCTCAGAAAATAATGAGGAAAATGAAAGCCCTCAAGTCAGCAAGTGTTGCCGGGACATCCTCAGAAACCAGGAACACGCTCACCGGCGTGACAGTGGGAATTGCAGCTGGCCTACACCTTTAAGAACGCAACCTGGTGCTGTAGTCCCCACTTGGGGCCAATGCCAAGGAGGGCTCTTTCCGTCCTCCTCCCAGGCACAGTGGGGACAGCTCAAACTGGTTTTAAAACTGTCCAGGTTGATTCATCACTTGGTCTGCCACCCTCTCCCCTCTGTTTCCACACCATCCATCACGGGGACTATAAGAAAAAAAAAACCAATAAAGACACACAGGCACCACTCTCCACACTCAGCAGGCCTCCAAAAGGCTGTCTGAGTGACCGACCTGAGCAATTAGCTGAGCCCACGGGGTCACAGAGCTGATGGGTATTAGGACCCCTTGCTGGGCACTCTGCCTGCAGGTGTTTTGAGGCAAGGAAAGTGAAGCAGGGGGAAAGAAAAGGCAGGGCTGGTGTGGAGCTCAGGTCTGCGGATGTTAACAAGAGCGCAGACCAACCGCATACTGTTCACAAAGGCTTGCTCCCTCACTCATTGCCACTGAATCAGAACCAGCTCCTAGCTGACCCTCCAGTGCGTTTTCAGAGACAAAAGCGTCACACAGGAGAAGACTGTCTATTTTTCTCGAGCGGGACAGCTAGTGAATTCAAATAGCTGGCCTTGGAGTTGACAGCAAAACTCACCATTCAGTAAGCTAAGGAGTTATTGTGGCCCCAAGCTTCAGGATGTCTCCAAAGAATAAGTGACAATCCTAGTGAAAGGCTGTGGCCGTTTCTGAGATCTACATGGGAAGCCGGGCTCCCGAGGGTATCAGAGTCTGACTGCCAAAGGCAAATTACAACAAAGAGGGGGAATTTCTCTTCACTAGGCCTGGCCTCCCTCCACATTAAACTTGCATGCACTTAGACAAAAGATAAGCCATGGGAGCTTCCAGATCCTTCTATTCCCTTCCAGAGCAGAATAAGCCTGGAGCTGGGTCACCATATTTCTTTCCGTGCATCAGAGTGGACTCTCTAAGGTTGAGGAGAGTCAAATGAAGCATATTGTGTCCTGATTCACCCCAAGTCGGAAAGACTGTGTTATACATTGTTCAGAAGCAAAAGACAACATAACACACAGCATAATCCCCCTCTAATACCATCATCTTAATCTAAGTATACTTTGAAGTCAGGTTTCATCCTTGCCCCAAGGCCTGGCTCCCAGCCCCAGGAGAAGAACGGCCCAGCCAGAGGGGCTCTGAGCTAATGAGCTCCACGGCTAATGAGCGCCATGGCTTCAGTACCAACTGTCCTACTGTGGGAGCTGGTAACCAATGAGCAAAAATATTTTCCAAATACAGTCACTTGTCAATTACTCTTGAGTGAACCATCCATGACAACCCAAATTCTCCATGCCCCAGAAGCTTGCGGATGGGCATAGGAAGCAAGGGCTGCGTGTGTGAGAAAGAGAGTGAGAGTGTGGGTATGGACGTGAGTGTTCACAGAGGTGTATATAGCCCCCAAAATGACATATAACTGAGTTTTTATTAGGTCAATATTCACACTTTAGAACTAGCCTCATTCAATCTTTCCACCATGAATAATGTACAAGCTAGTTGAACACAACTAGGGAAATCATCCGGCCTAACACTGAGCAGGATGTCTCCAGAGTTTTGTAATAAGACAAAGGGTTCTTTCTATCAATGTGATTGTGACCCAGAGTTACAGGCAGAGGGAACCTGGCAGACTCAGTCCCACCCAAGGGAGTCAGGAAACAGAAGCCTCAGAGGCCCAGGCTTACCCTTGCATGCGATGCTGTTCTCGGGCTCATAACCAGGCTTGCAGGTGCACCGGCCAATAGGCACCATCCATTCGCCGTCTCCATTGCAGTAGAGTTTGATGGGCACATCCACTTCCTCTGCATTGGGGATGCATATGCCACGAGCAATCACTAGAGACGTGCTCTCTGCCCCTGTCATGGTCTCCGGGAACACAGCAAAATTTTGCACAATGCTGGGACACTTTTTGAAGAAGACCCGGACAGAAAGAAGAGACATGCAGGCTCCATAATCCTGGAAAGCGAGGTAAAAACCATTCCGAGTGAGAGGTCCAAAGCTCCTGACTTCTGTGTTGACCTTCATCAGTCTCCCCCCAAAGTCCACCTGGGAGAAACTTTCATCTGCAGCAATGGTGTCTACTTTGAGGTAGGGGGCCTCAGACCAGAAGGCTGACTTCTTGGTGGCAATGACCGAGTCTGTCTCATAGTAGTACAAGTTGAAGGTCTCTTTGCAGGATCCCGGGACGTTGGGGAGGCTGCTGCAGTCTCTCACAGTGAAGCGCATCTCTGTGTAGACGCGATGGGCCCCTCGACGGTTAATGAAGGTGGTGAGCAGCCAGTTGTTTTGGTTGGGTTCGAAGACGTTGCACACCTGGTAGGTACGGATGGTGTTCAAGTTTTCATCGTAGCCACTGACTTCCTCCCACTGTATGACGCAGGCCACGCACATGCAAAACAAACAAACAAAAAACACAAAAGAAAGAATGAACAGGCAGAAAAGAGGCAGAAGACAAGAGGGTCCTTAAGCTACATGGGGCTTTATGAGCTCACCAGTCCAGTCATTTGATATGAGAAATTAACTCTTTCTTCAAATCCACCAGGTCCTCCATGGGAGAAGGATGGGCGATCTTCTCCCCAGCAGATTAAAGCTTCTGAAAACATACTGAAGGGTCAGCTATGGGTTGGTTCTGACTCAATGGCACACAACAACAACAACCCTTCCTTGGGACTTTTTATGGCAGAGTGGTTATAAGGCTCAACTGCTAATCCTATGTCAGCATTTTTTTTAAATCTTAATCTACCAGCTACTTCATGGTGATAAAGACATGGAAGTCTGCTTTTGGAAAGACTTATACCCTTAGAAAATGTATGGGGCAATTGTACCCAATCCCGTAGGTCACTATAAATTGAAATTAACTAGAAAGCAGTAAGTAACAATATTTTGCTTTTGGAGATCTCTTTCTCTATAACTCATTACAAATTAAAACATGTTTCAAACTAAAAAAATCTTGTGTCCTCAAATCCCAAATTCTCAGTGTGACTCATCCCTTATTCCCCTGTCCCTGGGGACAACCCAGTCGTCGAGCCCTTCTGATTGTAAGAACTTCATTTCTCAAAGTCACAGCCATACTCAGCAGTCAATCTGGTTGAGGGATCTAATTCTTTAATCATTTGACCTTAGAAATTCCCTTCTCGGATACTCTTATTTCTTTATAGTAGTGAAATGTCTTTACATATATGAAAAAAGCATTACTATCAAGTTTATATAACATATTGTCGTTGTTATTTGTTGATTACCTTCGAGTCAACCAGGACTCATAGCAACCCTATGAACAAAAGGCTTGAAGTCCTCTTACAACTACAGACATTTATCAAAGTTCGTCGAGTTTCCTGAGGCATGTTACTTAGGAAGTGGATGCCACTCCTGCTTCCAAATACAGCATAAACTATATATCTCTTCCTACCTATCTTATCTATCTATCTATCTATCTATCTATCTATCTATCTATCTATCTATCATCTACCTATCGTTGTTTGTTGATTGCCTTTGAGTTGAGCACAACTCATAGTGACCCTATGAACAAAAAGCTTGATGTCCCTCTCCAACTATCAACATTTATCAAAGTTCATAGAGTTTCCGGATGTATGCTATTTAGGAAGTGGATGCCACCCCTGCTTCCGAATATAACATAGAGATCTATAAATAGAGATATATAGTTTATATCTTTATCTACCTATCTATTTAATATCTATCTATCTATCTATCTATCTATCTATCTATCTATCTATCTACCATCTATCTATGTCTAGAACTCTGGTAGCCTAGTGGTAAGAAGCAGCACTGCAATCCCCAAGGCACATGGCTGAAATCTACCAACTGCTCTGAGGGAGAAAGATGGGCAGATATATACTGCTAGATAAGGATGAGTAATCTTCTCCCACGCAATTAACTGCCTCCAAAAACCCACCAGAGGGTCAGCTATAGGTTGGTTCTGATTCTATGGGACACAACAAAAGCACCATGTATATACACATATACACTATAGCTCTGGTGACACAGTGGCAAGAAGCTGTGTTGCAATCCCGACGGCATGTGGTTCAAGGCCACCATCTGCTCCAAGGGAGAAGGATGGACAGTCTCTTCTGGTGTGATTAACTGCCTCTGAAAACCCACCAGAGGGTCAGCTATGGATGGGTTCCAACTCTATGGTACACAACAACAACATATACACACACACACAAACACACTATACATACATAGACATATACACACATACAGAGAGCGAGAGAGCGAGAGAGAGATGCATTCGTAACTCATAGCTGACTCCATAGGATTTTGAAGCTGTAAATAACATAGGAGGAAACAGTCTATCTTTCTCCCAAGGAGTCACTAGTGGGTTGGGATCACCAAAGAGGCTCAACTTTGGGTTATCAGCACAAAACGTCTTGTATCTATGAAAAACACATGATCATAAAGCCTCTCAAAGTTATTCAATAAACTAAGATTCTCATACTGAGACCCTCCTAAACTTTTGTTTCATAACACTTATACTTTGGAAAAACAAGATTGTAAAACTGGTTACATAGAGGCTGTTGCTGAAATTAAGCTTCGTTTTGCACAAATTTCAAGCAAAAATGTGATGGAAGAGAATGATGCAAAGGGCTGCCCAGGGAGTAAAGAAAAGCTTCTTCATAGGAAGTTAGTAATGATTCACAGTGGAAAAGAGAGAGAATTTTCCGAGTTTTGCAGTTCTGTAGATTAACTCTTCCACAGCTAACTGAAAGGTCAGTGGTTCTAATCCACTAGCTGCTCTGTGGAAGAAATATGTTGTTGTTAAGTGCCGTCAAGTTGTAGGCAACACACAGCGACCATATGAAAGAAAGACCTGAGCGCTTGTATACCTTTCTTCCTTTCTCCAGGTTCACAGGGTTTCTAAAGGGGGGGTGTTGTATATACATATATATATATATATATATATACACACACATATATATACACACACACATATATACACACATACACATATATATACACACACATATATACACACACATATATACACACATACACATATATATATACACACATATACACACACACCTATACACACACACATATATACACACACACATATATATACACACATACATCTATCTCTATATATACACACATCTATATATATGCATCAATATATATATATATACACACACACATCTATCATCTATCTATCTATCTACTTATCTATGTATCTACCCACACATATATATATATACAAATATCTATCTATCTATCTATCTATCTATCTATCTATCTATCTACCCTGGTTCATTCAATACATAGCGTATAAACATACTACGGTACAAAGACACCATGAAATACTATACAACACCAAAGATAAGTAAAGAATCTGTAAACACCTCCTCAGAAGTGATTGAACATAGGGAGGATTAGGCAGAGTGAAATAAGATAATCATAAAGAGACACTGTGTAAGTCTGTAATAAGAAGAAATTAAGGAAAGATTTACACAGAGAAACATTCCTGATTAATTAATTGTTAACTGTGTGGAAGGGAAAAATCTCTAACTAACTAGGGGGCATGTATTCAGTTGGAAGATGGAAAATACACCACAATGGAGTAACTAGTGGAGCATCACTAGCGGAAGAGAGAGGGATGTACAGGGGTCACGGGCTATAAAAGCAAATGCTCCGCAGGATAGAGCAGGGTTTAGGGCTGCTGTGCATAGGGTCGCTATGAGTCGGAAACGACTCGACGGCACATAACAACAACAGCAACAACCCACACGCACAATCCTCCATTGTCAGTAATAACAAATATTAACCTCCTAGCTGACACACAGATAGACAGGGGACATTAATAGATATGAATGCTGCTGTTGTTGTTGTTGTTGTTAAGTGCTGTTGAGTCATAGACGGCTCGTAGTGACCCTATGAAAGAAATACCTGAATACTTGTATAACTTTGGTCATTTCTCCATGTTCATAGAGTTTCCAGACGCAAGCCATCTCGGAAGTGGATGTCACTCCTGCTTCCAAGCTTTATTTAATCGCAAAGCTCCACCAAACGTTGGAACATTAGCACATCAGTGTCACAGTGTTTAACATCACAGCAACCACAAGTTTCCTCTGTACAGCAAATGGACAGATCAATGCTATATCACTTAGAAAAATGTTTGACCAAAAACAATTTAAACCAGGCCTGAGAGCAGCAGATTAAAATCACCCACCTTGGGCTTGGTAGCATAACTTTCTGTCCATGAGGCCCACAGATCTCTCTCTATGTTGTCATTGTTAATGTTGAGTAAGTGAAAAAAAAATGCATCTATTCATCTGTACAGAGGTTTGTCAGACAAATTTCTCCACCCTATTACGTGTTATTACTATTTCCAAACACATGATGTTGCTTTTGTTGTTGACTGCAGTCAAGTCGAGCATGACTCTTAGTGACTCCATGAACAAAAGACCTGAAGCCTTTCTATAACTGTTGTCATTTATCAAGCTCATAGAGTTTCCAGAGGCATGTTATTTAGAAAGTGGATGTTACGCCTGTAAATGAGAAATAAGTGGAGTGGGCTTCTTAGTTATCACCAAACAACTTAAAGGATGAGTCACTGAGCCTGAGAGCTCAAAATTATGCTTTTAACGGACATCAATTAAGGTCAAAGGGCATAATATGGTCCTCAAAGACAAATTTTGTAAATCTTAAAGAGAGCTCAGTTGGCCTAGTGGACAGAAAGGTATGCTACCAAGACAAAGGTGGGTGATTTTACTCTGAGAACCTTATCAGGCCTGGTTTTAATTGTTTTTGGTCAAAAATCCTTCTAGGTGATATAGCACTGGTCTCTCCATTTGCTGTACAGAGGTAACCTGTGGTCGCTGTGAAGCTGAACATTGTGACACTGATGAATCAAATGTGATAATGGTTACCCATGGTGGACAGTGTTTGGTGAAGCTTCCTGATTAAAACAAGCTTGGAAACAGGAGTGGCATCCACTTCTGTAAATAACTTGCCTCTGGAAACTCTATGAACCTGGAGAAAGGACAAAAGTTACACAAGTGTTCAGGTCTTTCGTTCATAGGGTCGCTACGAGTCATCTACTACTCAGCGGCACTTAACAATGACAACAACATCACCACCACTAGAAAAGGCAGAGAGATAAGAAAAGAGAAGAAGACACGATGGACTGACACGGTGACTTCAACAGGGGGATTGAGTAGGCAGTGATGATGAGGATGGCACAGGACAGCGGAGGATTCAGATCCGCTGGTGACGGGGTTAATATGAGTCGTAGTTGACGGGACAGCATCTAACAACAAAAACAGCATAAGGTGAACGGTAAGAACACCAGGAAGGATTATATCTATTAGAACAATCAATCATATATGAGTGAAAGGATCAGATCTGCT